CAAACTCTCCCTGCATGAGAGATGGGGTGTGCAGCAAAAATTATCCTAAAGATTTTAATGCCAACACAGTAGCTGTTTACAATGGTTATCCCCGCTATAGGCGTCATGATAATGGGTTGGTTATCAATATTAAAGGCAACAATGTAGATAACCGTTGGGTATATAAATATATAATTATTGGGTATATAAATATATAATTAGCTATATAAATACAATTTATTTATCTCAATTCAATTCTTCATCTTTTATGTTTATAGTTTGGCTCCTTGAAGCATTTTATGTTTTGCTTTTTTTATTATGAGTATTTTAAATCCGTTGTGATGTCTTTTAAATTAAACTAAAGTTTACTAAAAGCCAACATAAAAATTACGTTTTTGAACAACACCAAAAAGAACAGCTGCATCCCTTCAGCAACTGCTGCAGTATCACAATAGGTTACCAAAAGCAGGTATACTGTTTTCCAGTTGTTGTTTTTTTTTCATATATATCTACTTATCTATATAATACTATAGTACGATTGTATATATCTCATTCATTTTTTTTTTTCTTTATCTTTAAGTGTTAATAATTTTATTCTTTGAATGAGATTAGTTAAACAAGTCGGCTTTCCATTAAAGATATGTTTCAAAATTGAACACCATTGGCAAAATGCTTACAAAATTAGGTAGTTTTTAAAAATCTGTTTTCTATTTAATACACTTTTTTTTAAATATACTTTTAAATATACTTTTTTAATATACTTTTCTATAACAATCCTACTAATATGGAATCACGTAGCTTTTTAAATATGTTTAATTGTCGTCCCTATCGGTAATAAATATTTTAAATTATTTGATATGGTTTTCTTTACAATAGGCTATGCTTGGCTCCCTGGTGCTGTAAATGGTGGCTTCAACTTTGTTTTTTTAAGAAAAATGTGTTTTATATATGCTTCTGTTTTAAAATATTTTTGTTACATATTTAACTATATATCATGTAAATAAATTTCTTTTAAAGATATATAAACTTGATACTTGCTTTTTTACGGATTTTCAAAAAGTGAGCAAAGGTTTAAATATATTTTTTAACTGTCTTATATGATTTTATCAATTTTATTAAAGCTCAATAATTACTTCAAAAATATTGAGTAAAATCCAATTGCTTTTATTATTAACCTGATCTATACAAAAATTAATGAAATAAAACTAATAATTTAGCGCCAAGTTAAGGCCAAATGTATTCCGGACATTTTATAAAATTAGTATAAATATGGATTGGATGTATGCTGAAATAAATATGTTGATACACGTTAGCTATTAAAGTAAATCCATATATTCCTTTATTGTTTTTTTATAAACAAGTTTCTGCTGGATTACTAATTAAAAAAAAGGTTGGTTTAATAATAATCTTTATCATAATAATATAGGATCTGTATGCGGGGCTAAGCCCTTTTCGGAATTGCGATATATTTTTCAACTTATAGTTTTTCCGGATATCCAACTTCTATGCCTACAAGTTTGGGTGTAATATTTTAGATGTTTTAAAATTATTTAAAAAGTATATTAATAATATTGAAAAGTTTAGGTGCGATAGTGACATATTTTTAAGCACTTCACTCAGTAAAATGAAAAGTTTAAAAAAAAAAGAAACGACTCAGCTTAAAGCAAAATTAAGAGTAGAATATATTCCCAATATTTACCTAAACAATTTTACGGAATTTGAAAATTTGACATCGATGTTCTGTGCATATAATTCAAGTCATTTTTAACTACTACATGGTTGTGATTTTCGCATTCAATGTATGAACATTGCAAAAGAAATGGTTAACTTTATCTTTAATGAAGCTAAGAGTTCTCTTAAACTAAGAAGCCAAGAAAAATAAAAGTGAGCTTAACTAAAAAAATGTATAAATAAATTTATATTTCATTAGAGAAAGTAAATAAAGATCAAATTGTTAGTAATGATTTATTTACTACTAACCCGTTTTATGGGTTGCTTACTGCTAGTATATATATAATTTACTATATGCACATTTTTATATTACTTTGTAAAAATAAAGTTTCTTTTAATTTTTGTTTAGTGATGCAAAAGTTTGGGTTCCTAATGCAACAATTTGCTATATCTCTTGGAAACTAAGATCAAAAAAGAATAGGACTGTCGACAATCTAGACACTCTAGATTTAAGTTTAAGAGAAAAGATTGTTAAATGGTCAAATAATGTAGCATGTAAAAATAGGTTTACAAATTGACTGCATCGATGCAAAGTAAGAGATGAGACAAAAAATCAAAAGTGGCATTGTAGAAAAAGTTAATAAAAAAAAAAATTAGTTCATTTACACCATTTCTTGCTGGAAAGATGATGGAATCAGTTCCATCATCTTTCCAGCAAGAAATGGTGTAAATGAACTGTTCACAATTGCATGAAAAAGATCCAGCATTTCCAGCAAGAAATGGTGTAAATTGAAGCTGTTCACAATTGCATGAAAAAGATTGCTGCTGCTGATGTTGTTTCCAGTGAGTTAAAATTTAATGAATTTAAAAACACTGCAAGTGTTGTGACTTGCCAAATATATATTGCAAGTATTATGATTTGCATAAATAATACAGCTAGTGTTGTGACTTGCCTAAATTATATAGCAAGTGTTGTGATAGTAAACTTACATTTTTTTAAGTCACTCTTTTTTTTCTGTAGACAATTTAGAACAAACAATCAGTAAGTTAAGTTTGAATTGTTTTAGTTACTATATCATTTAAAGTATTTTTATGCTGTGTTAGTATTCCTTGTTGAATAAATGTTTTGATTTAAAAATTTTTTTAAAAAGATTTAATTTTAAGAAAAAAGATTGGTCAATTAATGTAGCACATAAAAACAGATTTACAAATCAACTGCATCAATGCAAAGTGAGAGATGAGATTTGCCAAAGACAAAAATATCAAGCGCCAAAAAATGGATGAAAAAGAAAAAAGAAAGTTAGAGCGTGAGCTATCCAAATTGAGTTTTAACGAAATTATTAATTCATGCAAGCGCTTGTTCAATGACCAACTATTTGATTTAGAAGATGCCATGTCAGATAGAATTGTTTGGAAGAAACTAGAACATGAATGGTACGATCCAAAAACATGCAAAAGTGTTTTATATAGCGAAAGAGTAGAAAAAGTTAATAAAAGAAAAAATAACTTTATTTACACCATTTCTTACTGGGAAGATGATGAAACTGATATTGGAGCTGTTGACTATTGCATGAAAAAGATCCAGCTCGCTGCTGATGTTGTTTCCAGTGAGTTAAAATTTAATTAATTTAATAACACTGCAAGTGTTGTGACTTGTCAAAAATATGTTGCAAGTGTTGTGACTTGCATAAATAATATTTATTTTGAAACAGGAAATTTGTTTATTAACCGAAGAAAATGGTTAGCTTGTTAACCATACTGTATGGTTCTGTTAATGTGAGAATCACGTGAAAGACAATAATATAGGTATTTGCTATACTTAGTTATAAAGATGACATCTTTTTTAAAGCCTATTGACCTAATTATAGCCCCACAATAGTAGTTGTATAATTTTTTTAGTAATATATAACCAATTAAATAATAATATTAGGTTAGAGAGGGAAGGGGTATTAGTATGCCTCTTTCCCCTTTAAAACATCATCAACATATCTACTATGAGTTTTACATTCATCTTCCATACTTGATGGTTGTCTGATATGAATTTATTTTTTAATTTATTTCCAATTTCATAATTTCATTTTTAAATTTATTATTCAAATTTTGAAAACAGTAATTGTATATATTTTTTTTAGGATGGGTGGGTGGGTGGGGGGGGGACATATGCCCTCCTGTAATAGAAATACCACTTGTAGACGTAAGATCATGTATAACATAATTTTATATTGTATACTAATTTTACACATTTCAGTAAAGATATAAATATAAAACCAAGTCGTTTTTGATACTAGGGTGTATCAAACCACCATCACCACACCCACCTTTATAACATACACCTCATATATTTTAATGGTTAAATATAAATTTAAAACAATTTGTTTTAATATTTATATTGCTTATGTCTTTAAAAAAAATTTTTTTTTGAAAAAAGTGTTCAGTTTCGTACGGGCATGGTGGTGGTTTGGTGCCCCCTCTGTCCGTCCGAAACGCCCAGTGGTTAGAGTTTAACATAAAGTTGTAGCCCACTCTTACACCTATCTTTTGACACTAAGATATTTGTTTTTCGATAAGAATTGACAAAGTTATGACGATTTAAGTAAAGAAAAACATTATTTTGACCACAGTTTCGTCAACAAATCCTAATATCGAAAAATCGGTACTTAAACCATCATAACTTTTGAACCAATTGTTCGATTTTGATAATTTTTTCACCTTTAAAATACTGTAATAATCTTTTTTCTAATGATATATAACATTATAGTATTTAAACAATTTGAAATTTTTACTCACGTACCTAATATATATATATATATATATATATATATATATATATACATATATGATATATATATAAATATATATATATATATATATATATATATATATATATATATATATATATATATATACATATATATATATATATATATATATATATATATATATATATATATATATATATATATATATATATATATATATATATATATATAATATATATTTACAAAAAAAACATTTCTTTTTTAAAAATTTCTGTTTTAATAATGTAAACTTATACATTTTAATTTGCTACCTGTCGTAGATTTTAAAGCAAAAATTAACGATTTAACACTGCGGTATCACTTCAAATTATACTACCAATTAATTTCATTATTGTCATAACTTATGACAATAATGAAATTAATTAGTAGTATAATTATTAATTGTGATTATGCCATAAGCCGAGATGTTATTTCAACTATTTATTGAAATTATAATTGTATTGTATAAATAATTAGTTTATTTTTTAAAATGTTTGCTTTAATATGAGGTTTTTACATTGTGTTCACCGGAAAATTTACACATTTACTTACTACAATCTTGACATTTTAAAACCAAAACTACAAAATATCTTGACGTACCAAGAATCAATTGCAGGCATTTTTGCGGATTACAATTGTTTACGAACTTTGTTATGAAAATGGAAATCCATCCTTACGTTAAACGATAACGTAACCACCCTTTACCTTAACAAATATCTAAACAAACATGGCTGTCGAAAATGACGGTGAACTAAACATCGAAAATACAGATGAAATAAGTTTATCTGGCAGTGTTATTACGGATCAGTCTGTTAGTGCAGAAAGTTCATTAGTTTTGAAAATAAAAGAAAATTTAAGTATGTCGATTTATAGAGTTTGATTATTAGGTTTAATTTTATCTTTAATATTTGTGCAAGTGAGAACCTCTTTTCATGAGCTATACATCTTACTCTTCTTGTTTTATATTGTGCTTTTGAATATATTTTTTTCTTGTAACTATAGGCTAGATAATTAAAGCGTTGTTTAGTTTTTGAATAAATTTACTTAATAATTTATACTTATATTTTAAACCTACTAATAATATTAAGAGTTTATAAAAGAGATCTTAGATATATAATATTATGTTAAGAGTTTCTAATATATATTTAGAGTTTATAAAAAAGATCTTAGGATCGTGAGATCATAAGGCTTAAGATTAGGTATGTAACATGAAAATTTTAAATTAAATAAATACTGGAATGTTATATATCATTAGAAAGCTCTCCAATACAGTATTTTAAAGGTAAAAAATGACCAAAATCGGACAATTCAACAAAAAGTTATGTGGTTTTTAGTAGCTAATTTTTGATATATGGATTTGTTAAAGAAACTTTGGTTAAAAATTAATTTTTCTTTACTAAAGTTGTTATATCTTTATCAATTCTTAACTAAATGCCTATAACTTGGTATCAAAAGATAGATGTAACAGTGGGCTACAAATATATAATAGCCTCTACCCATCAGGCTTATTCAGGGGGCTAAACAAGGTGCCGAACCACATCTTTACCACCACAAAATGCATAATCCTTCTATAGAAGAGTGTCGTTTTTGTAAAATTAGTAATTTATATTCAAAAAGTTATTGTAATTAACTTTCAGACCAACTGTTAGGGTGGATCAAAAGGTGGTGGTTTAAAACACCCTATTATCAAAAATGTTTAATTTATATAGAAGTATAAATATTGTATATTTATTAAAAACAAAAAAAAAATCTTGTATTACAAATGAAAATTTCATTCCACTACTTTACAACATATGCTAGTGGTGAATACAGTGACTTATGGGGATGGGTGTGTGTTCCTCCCTCCAACCTAAAAAAAAATTAATTTGATTATTCACAAAGACAGAAAATGATATGGAAACTTATTTAACTATGTTACAAGATGTATCCATGTAACAATTTTTCAGAGAAAGGGGGAAGGGTGTCTGCAGTTCAGCCCTCCTCCCCCTCCTTTCTCTAATATAAACAAAAAAAGATTTTAAATGTGATTATATACACATAGAGAAAAATTAATATAAAAACATATTTTACCATGTGACAAGATGCACCCATGTAACCATTTTTCATAGAAAGGGGTAAAGATGTATGCTTTCGTTCCCCACCCATCTCTTCCCTGCCCCCCTCCCCATCTCCAACATAAAAAAAAATAATTTAAGTTTGATTATTTAAAAAGAGAGAAAATGATATGGAAATATATTTAACTATATTACAAGATGTATCCAAGAAACCATTTTTTGGAAAATAGGGTAGGGATGTATATTTCACTTGTCGTCCCTTCAACCTGAAAAAAAAAGAAGACTTTAAACGTGATTATTCACAATGAGAAAAAACTAATATATAAATATATATTACCACATAATATAATGAATCTAAGTATGATATGTCAGAGAATATTTTGAACCTATTTCAACTTCAAAAAAAAAATTTTGCAGTACCTATTTTGCAAGTCATACCACTTGCATTCCTTTATTTATATATATGTAAATTGTATGCATATATATATATATATATATATATATATATATATATATATATATATATATATATATATATATATATATATATATATATATATATATATATATGTATATATATATATATATATATATATAAATCTACATTTGCATATCATTTAACTTTATTTTTATATATTATAAGGATTAATTTACCTTAGCTAACTGAATTTTTTTCAATTAAAGTTCCAATATATATAAAGTACTTATTTTACTATTACATAAGTAACAATTAAAGCACATTATCACATAGTCAGATTATGAAAAATCAACTTTCCTGCTATAATATCAGCAGCAAGCTGGAACTTTTTCAATCAATGGTAAACAGCTTCCAAATCAGTATCATCTTGTTTCCAGTAGGAAATTGTATAAATTCTGTCTTCTTTTCTTTTGTTTACTTTTTCTACTCTCCCATCATACACGACTGACTTGGTATTATCAGAATCAAACCATTCATGGTAATGTTTTCTACCAACAATTTTTTCAGACAGTAAATTGTCTATTTGCTTGGTAGACAAGTTTTTTATGCAAATTCTTTATTTTGTTTAAAGATAGTCCGCGCAGCTCTCTCTCCAACTTTCTTTTTTCTTTCTTATCCATTTTTTGCCTTTTGCATGTCTATCTTTTTGAATTCTCTGCTCGTAATGCAGTATGGTTCAGTTGATTTAACTTTCTCTTTTTTACGAGCCATGTGAATTGACCACATAACTGCCTTTTCCTTAGATTACTGATTAAGGCTATCAAGAAATCCAAAGTTCTATTTTTTTTTTATCTTAATTTGCATGATATATTACAAGTTGTTGCATTAGGCGATCTTCCTTTGGCATCACTAAACATACCCATTAACTCTTCACTATCTATATTGTGAAGTCTTGCACTTGCTGTCTCTTCCTTGAGTGTTTCAATAATTGAAAGAGACAAATATCTCATATATTACAGATTCAAGACATCTTCTACTGCAATAAGACAAGCAGAAGCCATCTCAATAAGCGGCACATCCGTGGAACCTAAACTTGTTATTGATTCTAAAACGTTTGGGGTAATCAGGTTTCCGAAAAAATCTGTCTGTCTGCTAAACAATCCAGCTGGATTGGATTTGCATGCTTGAATTGCATGCAAAACATTTTTCACTACTTGGATACTCGCAATATGATCAAAACTTGCATTTTTAGGTGATACATAGAATATTTTCATCCAGGGTCCAGTAAGAAGTTTTCCAAATATTGCTAGAACTCCCATTTGTTTTTATGGCAGTTGTATTACAAAATGCTGATTGCAGAACAGTTTGTAAAGTGCTACATTTTACTGTACCAATGGTAAAAAACTGATTAAAAGCATTGTAGTGTTTCATAAAGATGAAGATGAAACACTACAATGAAACAGGTATGGAAAAGTAGGTGAAGACGATTGCCACAATATCTTGGAATGATGCAACATGACAGTTTGTTATTATTTAAAAAATTTATTATTCGGAATCACCTTTTCCATCTTTAAACCTCATTTTATTCATTGACAAAACAATTTTTGTTTTGGCAATGAATAAAATTGCCAAAACAAAATTTCATTGCTATGCAGTCAGTTCCAAATAACTGACAACTTTCTTTTTCTGAACGACATGAAATAGAAAAAGTGTCAAGAGGATGCCAATGACAGTTCAGCTTATTTAGACTTTTACCCCAGGTAGCACAAACTTTGCTAATAGTAAGATGGTTAACTGCAACTCTGTCCAACATTGTGTTAGATATATTTAAAATAATTGTGCTACGACTCTCATGAAAAGGATGCAAGTGAAATTCTGAATAAACTAAAGCTATACCATCTATTGCATTATATATGGTTTTCATAATCATCAGCTGTTTCACCAGGTAATTGATCGAGAGCAACTACTTGGCATCTACTTGTGTGGGGCCCATTGAAAAGACTCTACATCTTTACCCCGCACTGGACCCAACTCTTAAAGGACCCAACTCTATACAGCTTGTAGTCTTTATTAGTCAATTTCTTTGTATGTGAATTCTGAAATGTAGACACAATTAAATTTTATAAATAGTTTATGAGACGACAAAAAAAATTTTTAAAAAATTAAAAAAAGAAAATAATAAACAATTTCTATTGAGATTAAATTCTTTTTGGAAAAGTTATTAATAAATTTAAATGATTTGAACAATTTTATGACAAACAATAAAAATGATAAATTACTTGAACGACTGATTTTGTCCATCAAAAAGTCTACAATATGAAAGTGATACAATTAAACAATATTAAAGCTTACATATACATATACATACATTACATATACATACATACTTCAATAATAAACCTTTCTTACCTAGTTTTCTGTCTAATTTTTCTAAAAAATTAAAACTATAATTTATAAAGTTACTTATAAAGTAACTAAGTAATTTGCTTTACCAAAATACCTATTAATTAAATTAATGCTGAATAAACTAATAAAAAATAGTTATTAAATAATTAAGTTGAACAAAATGATGTATAAAGACTGGAGAAGAATCCTGACTAAATTGTTAAACAGTCGAAAAAAAAAAATTTTTGCAAACTAATTATGTTTTTAAAATAAGAACATTATTTAACATCATTAATAATATTAGCATTTTTAAATTAATAATGATATTATGCAATATGATTTACATGAAAATATATTATATATTACATAAAATAAATATATTGCATAAAAATATATTAAAAAGTTAGTAATTATTTTTTGGTATATATATGGGTACAAAGCAAACATTTTTTTTATTGATCTTTATCTAAATCAGGTTATATTGCTTGAATAATGTTTTCTTATTTGTTATCCCTCCCCCACACCTCCCACCGTTAAACTAGGAAAAATAAAAATTAGGTACCAAAAGTGCGTGAGTAAATAGAGTATGTGCTTGAAAATGTTTTACTATGAAATTTGGCAGGGTTATTAAAAATGTGTAAACTTAGAAGGAAGAATATGTAAGAAAAATGGAAGAGCATTTTATCAACATTTACTGAATGCTCAAAGTGCAAGTTTTGAAAGTCAATAAAACCACTTATAAATTTCTTCATTGTAATCAAAAGACACATAATAATAAAGTTTATTAATACTAGTTTTCAAAAAATATCTATGTTAATATGAAATTCTAAAAAATAAGCCATCAACACATGTTTCTTCCACACTAGCCAAAAAAAAAAAACTCAAAAAGTGTGGCACAGAATTTTAGCACTTTTTTCAGTTCTATAAAATGTCGATTTCCACATAAATATTAAGATCTCACAAAGATTGTGAGATTCTAAGCTTTAGAATCTCACAATCTTCGGTAAAACAATAAATATAAGCATGTAAATAATACTTCAAAATTTTTATAAACTCCTAATATTATTAGTTAGTTTAAGATAAAAGTATAAATTAGGTTAAATAAGTATAACCTTAGGCTAAGGTCCATGTTTTGCCAAGGTTTTTGGATTTAAAGAGTAGTTTTTACAAGTTATCACTATACTATACATAGTAGTAATTTTTTTTTAGCATTTGATACATTTGATGAAAAATCAACTGTTGAAAATGCTCAAACCAAGTATGACAATAATGACGATAGTGGTATGGATGCAGGCAATGAAAGTGATTCAGTTAACAAAAGTAAATTTGAAACAAAAAGTGATCTTATTGTGCTTGATCCTGAACACGTAACTAATAATTTATTTTCATTTTTATCTTTTTCTAACAATTTCATTTATAAAATTTTCTAATTTTTTTTTTAATTCTATATCAATGTAGTTATTTATTTAATTTTATATTGATTTAGCCATTGATGAAAAGATTTCAACAAGCATACAAAGAACACCTTACAAAATTAGACCAGAAAATAACTTATGAATTAAAAGACTTGGTAAGATTTAATAAAGACTTTATTTAAAGTAGTTTTTTTCTCCCCTTGACAAATACCCTGTCAGTTTAATGACTTGGAACATATTGTATTTAAGCCTGGAGTTCTGGAGTCTTGGAGTCCTTATCACCATTATACCTAAGGACTCGGAGTTCAAAAAATGGTTGTTCCTCTTACCTAAAAGTATTAATTTTTTTTCCTATTATAAGTCCATAAACTTTTTTTTCTATTTTCAGAGCTCCTGTATATCAAAAACTAGGTAGAAGTAATCTTTTTGTGACTTTTAAATCCGGAGTCCTTTTTGGGACTTTGCATCTCTTTATCTTTGGCCAAAGATTCCATTACATTGTATTTTGAAATATAATTTTATCGAATATAATCAAGTTATATGTATTTATAAATGTAAAAAAAATAATGTTAACAAAATATAAAAAAAATGTAACATGGCAGTCTACACAAAAGAAGGCAGTACTGACAATCAAAGATTAATATCTTGCTTTTAAAGATTTGGAAAAAATGTCAAACTAAAAAGAATGTAGCAAAGAGACAAAAGTTAAGTTTTAGAAAGCATGGTTCTGTTGTTGTATATTAATGGTTTATGAACGCACGTGAACAAAATATGCCAATTGGTGAACATGTCATTAGGGAGAAAGTTTTAGATTTTATAAAAAAACTCAACATAATAGCTTTTAAGGCTTCAGAAGGGTGGCTAGATCGATGGATAAATAAACATGTTATTTTTTAAACTATTTCTGGCAAGGAAAGGTTATTTGCCTATTTGCCAGCGATCCTTTCAAGGTATGAATTAAGAGATATTAACAATGCTGTTGAGTTTGGTTTATTTTATCAACAGCTTCCAATAAAAATCTTTCATCTAAAAAGTGATCAATGTGCAGGAGGAAAATTTTGCAAAGTTAGTTTAACAGGCTTTGCAGCATTATATGGGGATCAGCAAAAAGCCGTCTATGTTGATAATTAGAAAGAAGAAAAAAGTTTTAAAAGTGTCAAAAGCCTACTATGTCAGTACAAGTCCCAAAAAAAATATGGGATGGACTCTTTACTGATTATGTAAGAAGTCTTGATGGGAAGTTCATGCTGAAGATAGGAAAGTTGTTCTTATCATAGATAACTGCACAGCTCATCCATCTTGACTAACTTTTAGCAATTGAATTAATATTTTTACCACCCAACACAACCTCCAACACTCAACCATTGGAACAGGGAGTCATAAGAGCATTGGAGGCTTTTTGTTGCACGAATGTTGTGAAGCATCAGATCAATTATATAGATGCTGGTAAAACGCCCTTAAAGATCAATATGCTTGAAGTTATGACCACCTTGGTCAGGTCATAGGATGCTGTATCAACAAACAATGTAAAGAATTGTTTTAGAAAGGCAGCATCTTGCAGGAAATCCAGATTGCAAATATAAATGGTGAAACTGAATCTTTCAAATTGCTTGACAAGAACCAGTGGAGGATCCAGGGGGTATACCAGAATCTAAAAGTCCTAATATATCTTATTTTAATTTATTATTTTACAAGTAAAAGACTTTAGCAGCATCTTATTCCATTTTATTTCATTTTTCTTCCTTTTTACTCTCTATTTTTGTTAAAATAGAAATTTAGCAGACGTGACATAATAGTTAGTGTGCTTGCCACAGAAGCAAGCACGCAGGGTTCAACACAAGCTCTGGGCATGTTTTTTGCTATTGGTAATGAAGAAGGCGTGAACTTCTTAATTAAATGCTATTCCTTAGTTTTCCATAACAAGACCATTAGAACTTTTTGGGGCACCTAAAATAAAAATTAAAAAAAAATCGATTGTAACATGAGTTAAGTCACTTGAAAGAGGATTTTCAGTTATTCAAAATTTCAGTTATTTGAAATAAATTCTGGGGAGTTTACTGTATTGACTTTGTTTCAATTAAAATTGTTATACTTAGATTTATACTCACATACATTTACAGAATTTAATATTTATACAACAAATTTAAAATCGAACTATGTATATTTCAATCATTTATAATAAATATATATATATGTATATATATATATATATATATATATATATATATATATATATATATATATATATATATATATATATATATATATATATATATATATATATATATATATATATATAATATAATATTATATTTATACAATATTTGTATAATTTTATTATATATATATATATATATATATATATATATATATATATATATATATATATATATATATTTATTTATATAATATTATATTTATACAATATTTGTATAATTTTATTTTATATATATATATATATATATATATATATATATATATATATATATATATTTATTTATTTATATAATATTATATTTATACAATATTTAAATAATTTTATTATATATATATATATATATATATATATATATATATATATATATATATATATATATATATATATATATATAATAAAATTGACAACAGATACCATCAGTTAACAATCCATTCAAAACCAAGAGCTTGAATCTGAAACATTTTTTTTTTTAGGTAAAAAAAAAAAAATTAAAGTTTTACTTTTATCAACATTTTTTAAATTAAAATAGTTATTATTAATATTGTTATGAAAAAAATTGTTAAACTTACTATCTGTGAAAGAGTTATGAAGACTTTGTTAAATTCTTTCCATTATAATTTAAATATAATAATAAAAATTAAAATAATACAATATTAGAATTACTATTTTTTTGTAGAGTGGCCCCCCCCCTTTCTGTCCCCATATTTCGCTAAACAAAAAAAACGGATAAACCAAAATTAGGTATCAAAAGTCCAACACTTATTAAACTATCTGCTACCAATTTTCCTTGATTTTGGCAGGTGTAAAGAAAATGCATGTAAAAAATAGGCTAAATAACAAAAATGCGGGATCAATATTCCTTTGACAACAAATTATTGTGAGAAGAAGGGCGAAATTCTTATGTAATATTGTCAGCAAAATAATCTATGAAAAAGTTTGATAACCATATTTAAAAGCAATATAAAAATCTAGATGAACCTTCTTTATAAAAATAATTTATGTTTATATGTTTCTAAAATAAAACACAACAAAAAGCGTTTGCCTAAGGCTACCTACAAAAAGTGGTGTACATACTATAACACATTATAAATCTGCTACTAAATTTTTTTTGTTGAAATATGGCATGTGCATAGAAAATGTATGTAGAAAATTGTCTGAATAAAAATAAAAGCGGGATCAACATTTCTTAGACCACAAATTTATGTGAGAACATCATCTAAATATTCAGGAGCAAAATAAATGATAAAAAGTTTAGTAACTATAAATAAATTTCTTTGAAAAAGCAAGATTAGCTTTTCTTCTTTCAAAAAAGTATCTATATGTATATATGTATATAAGTATCTATATGTATATATAAAGTATCTATATGTATATATATATATATATATATATATATATATATATATATATATATATATATATATATATATATATATATATATATATATATATATATATGTATATATATGTATATATATATATATATATATATATATATATATATATATATATATATATATATATATATATATATATATATATATATCAGGCTTTAACAGGAAGACATGCAATTTCACGTCTTTATATGACCACCCAAGTTACATTTTGCTATGATGGTTTGACTGCGGCTAATTCAAAAAGCATTTTAGAAACGCGCTAAATAAAAAATATTCTAAAAAAGTGAAATTAATTACATCAAAACTTCTTAACAAATGTTTTTATACTAGCGAAACGATTTTAAATAAAGTAACAATTTACTGAAAAAAAGTTTTTTTTTTAAATATAATTGACAGTTGTATATATTTTTTAAATTTAAAACATATAAATTGTTCAAGTGTTTATTTCTAAAATAAATCTTATTAAAAAATAAAAAATTGTTTTGTTTTTATAAACGATGACATTCTACGACTACGAAAATCTCTTTAACGAATTTAAATATAAGAATGATTAAAGTTAATGCATTTAAAAAGATAAACAAAATTTCGTTAAAAAAAAAAAGTTTTAGAAAACCGTTACAATTTAATAAGTTTGATCTTAAATGCTTTTATATTATCGAAATGCTTTTAATGAAGTAAAAAAAAAATACTTCTAATTAATTTAAAAAAAAGTATTTATAAAATGTTTTTTTATTTTATTTATATAACTATGTATTTTTTATGAGAAATATTTAACTTTTCAACATATTAAACAAATAAAAAATATATAAAAATGTTGAAACAAAGATTGAAAAGGTTTTATAATGCGTAAATTAAATAGACAAAGTATTTTAGTTTGATGAGTTTAGTTTTAGTTGCGTTATATATATATATTTATTTTTTTGTGTTTTTGCTTTAACTAAGTATTTTTTTTATTTTCTCTTTCGTTAATATTTATTATTTTTTAAAATTTTTTTTCAGATAAGTTTAGGTAAGTTTTTGTAGCGCGTTTTTAAATTTTAAAAATATGCCGTGGTCAAATCGTTAAAACATTTTTTTTTTGCGTGGTCATATAAAGACATGAAATCGTATGTCTTCCTGTGAAAGCCTGATATATATATGTTTTTTTTTTTTTTTTTTTTTTTTAACATCTTTACTTCCAACAAGGCTGCAAGCAACCACTATAAGAGTTGGAAGTTACTGGAAGAGAAAAGACTAAATCTGTATAGCAAGATAACGATTGACTGATGACTTAAAAGATTGCAAATTATATGAATCAGGAAAGCAAGATGAAGGAAGCGAATTCCAAAGAACTGATGTTCGAGGAAAAAAACTAGAAGAATAAGAGTTTTTGAAGCACTTAGGAACAGTCACAGAAAAAGGATGAGACTTAATTGAATGGCGAGTAACACGAGAATGAATTTTAGTAGATGGCACAAGGGACGCTAGCTCTTTAGAGCAGTGCCCATTATAGTATTTGTAGAAAAGAGAAAGAGAAGCAACATTACGACGAAGTGACAAAGGTTGGAGATTGGCTGCCAAAGCAGGTCCAACTATGTTTACAATTCGTTTTTGCACCTTGTCTAAAAGAGAAAGAGCATCATTAGAAGATCCGCCCTAGATGTGGCAACAGTATTCCATACAGGGACGGATTTGAGATTTATAGAGATAGAGAATAGAATCTGGAGTAAGTAAGTGTCGAGCTCGATAAAGAGATGCAACCTTAGCAGATGCTAATTTTGCAATGGATTTGATATACGGTTTAAAAGAAAGATCAGAAGTAAGAGTTAATCCTAGAAGATGAATGGTAGATGACTCATCTAGTACATTACCATTCATAAATATAGGAAGATCTAAATTATTACGATAACGATTGGCCGAATAAAATTGAGTTTTATCTGAATTAAAGTTCACCAGCCACTGTGAGCCCCATGCTGTAGCAGAAGTGAGATCCTTTTCAAGCTCAGATACCCCCTCCAAGCAATCAGAGAGTGTAGGCTTCTTATCATGACAAGAGTAAATGGTAGTGTCGTCAGCGAATAATGCCACCTTAGATGTGAGAATATCTGGAAGATCGTTAATGTAAATTAAAAAGAGTATAGGGCCAAGGATTGAACCTTGAGGAACCCCTGAAGTTACAGGATGTGAAGAAGAGTGTTGTCCATCGAGGACAACTTTTATACTACGATTGGAAAGAAAGGACTCAATAATCTTAAAGACGTTACCAGCTACACCATAAGAAGAAAGCTTATGGAGAAGACCAGCATGCCAAACTTTATCAAAAGCTTTAGAAATGTCAAGTGCGATAGCCTTAACCTCTCCACCTTTATCTAATGCACGGTAAAACCTATCGGTTATTACTGTTAGCACATCAACTGTAGAACGAGAAGACCAAAATCCATATTGATGATCAGAAAGTAAGTTATTTGATTCAAGATGAGAGATTAAGTGTTTGTTGATTAAAGATTCAAAAACCTTGCTTATGACAGGAAGGAGACTAATGGGACGGTAGTTAGATGAATCAGATCGCTCTCCGGAATTTTTGAAAATAGGGATAACAGATGCTGCTTTCCAGCATGATGGAAAACAAGACTCTGATAAGCACTTGTTAAATAGTTTAGAAAGTATGGATGAAAGCTCCGGAGAACACCTCTGCAAGACTACAACAGAAATGTTGTCAGGACCACAAGCTGTTGAAGAGTCTAAGCAGGAAATTACTTTAGATACAGAAGCTGAAGTGATGCGAATGTCAAGCAAGGGATCAACCTGTTTGACGGCTATGTCAGGTAAAACGCAACTGGTGGAATCAAGAGATGATATTGATGAAAAGTTCTTAGCAAACAATTCAGCTTTGTCTTTAGGTGAGGTGACAAAGTCTGAACCATACAAGAGAGAAGGAATAACAGATTTGCCCTTATTATTGATACTGTTAAAGATTCTCCAGAAGTCTCGAGAGCCTAATTTTTGTGATGAGATACGAGATTTAATGACCTGAGAATAGCGAGCTTTGGCGTCAGACAAAACCTTTTTACAATGGTTTCTGGCGATAGTGAACAGATGTCTGTTTTCTGGAGAATTGTTTTGCTGATAGATATGGAAGTAACGGTTTCGATTAGAAATTGCTGCAGCGCAATGTGAGGAAAACCAAGGAGAAGAGTGAGGCTTGACCTGGAATCGTCGAGAGGGAATAAAAGATTCCATGCCAGCCTGAATCCACGAAGTTATGTAAGAAGCACATTTGTCAGCAGGAAGACGAAAGATTTCTACCCAAGGGCCATCACGAAGAAAATCACGGAAAGAGTCCCAGTCAGCTTTAAGGTAGTTGTATGTGGTACGATGATAGGGGGATTCTGATGAAGTAGAAGAATTTGATAATAGTTTTAGAGAGATCAAACCGTGATCAGAAGTACCTAAGGGTGAATGTGGAGAAATTGAGCACTGACTAGGATCCAAAACAAGACATAAGTTGAGTAGAGAAGGTAAATGATTAGGGTTGTCTGGAAAACGAGTTGGAAAGTTGACTATTTGAGTTAGAGATTGAGAAAGGCAAAAGTTGAGGGCCTTAACGCCAGCAGAGTCACTGACACTAGAGCCAAGCCAATCGGTGTGATGGGCATTAAAGTCACCAACAACGATGATATTGGCCGATGGATAAAGAGAGAGGGCTTGGTCAATTTGATCAGAAATAACATCAAGAATAGTGCAATCTTGGGATGAAGGAGAGCGATATAGAACAAAGAGAAAGGCGATAGAGTGAAGTTGTGCTAAACGAAAGCACATAAATGAATAGTCTGTAGATTCAAACCTAGTTTCACGACAAATGGGTGAGTTCTTACGAATGTAGATGCCCAGGCCAAGCATGTGATTATTGGAGTCTTTACGAATTAAAGGAAGATAACCATCAACACTAAGATCACAAGATGGGACAGCCGAACTCAAATTAGTCTCACAAAGAGCAAGTAGGTCTGGTGAACTTTGCAAGAGATAAGACTCAACAGAAGAAAAGTTACTTCGAAGACCACGAATATTAGTAAATGATAGGTTTAGAGAACTTGGTGATGACGATGGTTTTTTGTGTTTTTTAGTTTTAGGTACTTTAGTCATTTTAAATTTATAAAGAACTTGACTCAAGTATAGATAGTACTCAGTACACTATTTAACAACTAAGCAATAGCCTCATTACTATTAATAAACCCTAAGCCGTAACAAAGGGCTCCAAATGTGGCCTCTGCAATGCACACCAAAAGTACAAACAGGGACACCATCCATGCGCAACATGGCACTGTTAGTACTCTGATATTTTTCGGCTGTTGATGGAATCAGCCTCTCTGAGAGCTACCACAGAGTTCGGGAAACCTGACTACCAGCCGGCCTCAGAACCATAAAACTGAGTTTTAGAGCTGTACCCTCATTAGGAGATAATAGAATGAGTTGCCCAGTCATAAAAATAGAGACACAAGCAATACCCACGCATTGAGTCAAGAAGATCCAGCGTTCAACATCCTAAACTGGAAACAATGTATTAAAAATACATCTGCGCCAGCCTAATAGATGAGGAAGGGGTGCGAGGCTGGTCAACAGATAGAATCTGTTTACCCCTTAAGTCTTTGCCTAGGAGGCCTTCTACAAGACAGCAGCTGGATGCATGTAACATCTGCCCAAGATGAGTATTTTTATCGAGACACCATCTCTAGCCTTTACTCAACCAAGAGCCCCAAGGCAGGGGGTGTTTTAATTCGGAGTTAACTTCTCCTAGCCTTTGCCTAAAAAAGCGTATCCTACAAGGCAGCAGGACATGGAGCAGGTTGTACTGGGTTACATGTTACCAGTAGCAGGAAAACCTGACCTGACCTTATATATATATATATATATATATATATATATATATATATATATATATATATATATATATATATATATATACATATATATGTAAAAATATGTATATATATATATATATATATGCAGCCCTGAGAATTAGGAAAAATGAGGTCAGCAACAATTTGCTGACCTTAATCTGTTAAGGCGAGTTTCCGCTCATCCATTTTTTCACGGGTATGGGAAAGGGACTGGAAAAATAATCATGTGGGCATGCGTACTATAAGTTTTAATATGTTCGAAGTAAAACTACGCATGCTCACGTGATTATTTTTCCCTTTCCTATCCCGTTCCCGCAAATTAAATGGATGAGTGGAAACTCATCTTAAGAGGTTAGCATCAGGTCTGCAAAAAATATATGACACAGGTTTTACCATGAAACATGGAAATGAAGTCAGCGATAGTTTGTCGACCTCAAACACTTCTAAGTTAGCATTTAGGTTGACATTGCCGAATGCTGATCCTAATGCTGATCCTAATATATATATATATATATATATATATATATATATATATATATATATATATATATATATATATATATATATATATATATATATATACACAAATATATATTTACACAAATATATATTTGTGTATATATATATATATATATATATATATATATATATATATATATATATACACAAATATATATTTACAGGGCATGACAAATTGCCATATAAATTAAAAAAAAGACAGAAAAATGAACTTCATGTTTCTTTACTTATTGTTGAACATTGGCGTTCACTTAAAATTTTTTTAAATGAACACATTACTTAACAATTTATTTTCCAAATAGTTATGTGATTGATAGTTTTTTATTCATAAATTATTAATAATAAATTATTATAAGAAATGCAAATTTATAATATAAAACAATTAGGTACTAAAATTAAAAAAAGTATTTTAAAGACTTTAAAAAAAAACATGCTAAAACATTATTACTTTCTTCAAAAGTGTTACTTTTATTTTATATAACTAAGTAAGTTATTGAGAAAAGTAATTATGTTTTAGCCTTGTTTTTTTATGCGTTAACAAAAGTATGCAAAATTTTACTTAAAATGAATGCATATGAAAATACTTTAAGAAACTATGCTTAAATGTTATGATTGCTATTAGTAAATAAATCTAACAAAATTAAGAAAAATTCATTGTTTAGTATCAATGGATAACAGTTTACAATCATTAAGTCATTGCATATTATCATTAATTTGTGTGCTTTTTGTAAATGCATAAAAAGTTGTTTTAAAAAATAAAAATTAAATCCAATAAGCATCTTTAATATATCTAATAACTTCTATAATAATATATAATAATAACTTCAATAAGCATCTTCTAATAACTTAAGTTTTAATGATATTAGACAGTTACTTTATACAGTTTTTAAAAATCAGAAAAAATAAATAATAATTAAGTAAGCTAGTCTTTTTTGTGGTAGTAAATGTCTTTTATACCTATATTGTATAACTTTTAGTTGATTATACTGAAGTCCTCACAGATGGCTATAAGTGCACAAATATATTAAAAACATAAATATATATACATCATCTAAGTGCACAAATGTATTTGTATATAAATCTATATGTGTGTAGGTTGAAGAACAACTATATGTAAAAAGACAAAGAGAAGAATTAGGTGTCAATTTGTATGGAGTACAACAAGAATTAGCAAAGCAGCAATTAGTTTTAGAAAAGCGTCATAATTTGTTTAATGAGTGTTCGCATCTACGTAAGCAAACTGAAAAACAATTAACAGAAACAAAAACTATCTACACGCAAGTATTAAATAGTCTTCAAAATCAGCGTAAAAAAGGTAATTTAAATAAACTAATTTATGTCTGAATATTTATACAATAGCCTTGATGTTTGTTATTAATTAGATAGTTTTAAATGGTGCTTAATTATGAATTAGATAGTGTTATATGGTGCATAATTATGATTTAAATAGTTTTAAATGTTGCGTAATTATGAATTCATGATATATAGTGCAAAAGAGCCTACACTTATACTTAATACATGTAGTCCATGATTTTTCCATTTATCAATAGAAATTGAAGCCAAGAAATTTTATAGCTTATGTAAAAAATATATACATATTTTTTACGTTTTGTAGAAAATATAAACACTTTTTTCTGCAATATATAACACCAATAATTAGGCTGAATACTTCTAAAAAATTTTTAATCTCATTTAAAAAGACCATTAAAAATATATCAAAAGTCTTTTCCTTAATTTTAAGTTAATTTTCCCTATAGTCTTATAGAGGACAATATTCAGTGGCAACTAAAACATTACTACAAAAAATGCCACTCTTTGTCAGACAAAGTGATATTAAGAATTTGCCAATTATTTTAAGTTATATGAATTTAAATTGATTTAATTTATATGAAGTTATAGAAATATTGAATATTCTTATAATTTAAACAATCTTCAACTCAAACAATTTTCAACCTTTTCTTTTTGGCGATTATAATTCATTTTTTATTTTAAGTGTAAGTTAAATTTTCTTGGCTTAATATAATATTTTAGGAGTGCATCCACAGTGCGGAAAATAATGGTCAATGGCTGCCTGAAATGACTAAAAATGCTTTTTTAAGCTTCCAAAATGAATTCTTGCTGGTTATCGTTGACCAGTTGAAAAAAAGTCAGAGTTTTCAAAAACAAGTTTTGACAAATAATCAAAAAATCAGGATGGTATTTTAAAAATGCATATACTAAAATTTCATAAAATCATTTAACTTTTGAAAAAGCGTTTAAAATAGTTTTTTCTTTTATGACATACTACTTTAATTGCTAGCGGGTTGTTAAAGCAAAAAGTTGAAAAGCAAAAAGAAGTTAAAACAAATTTTTTGTTAAATCCTTTATTTTTCAATACTGTTTTTATCTTTATTTTTAAAAGGTTTAAAATTTAATAATAATTTTATGTTATTAATTCTACTACTTAAAACATATTTGAGTATATATTAAATTTATCATTGTTGAAGTTTTTATCTAATTATTATAGTATATTAATTAAAAACAGTAATTTTTCTGCTATAACAATAATTCGCTTTGTTAACGAATGTATTATACATAATGTATATACATGACGTAAACTGTATCTATTAAGTTTTTTTGCTTCACTTATTTAAATTAATTTCATTTTACCGATGGTGAAAATCCTTTTTCCTTAAATGATTAAAGTTCTTATTTTATTATTATTTTATTAAAAAAATTTTATACATTATTTTAATAATTATATAATATATAATAATTTATGTATATCTGCACTTAGTCAATTTGTTTTATTTTTCTCTCAATTCTTTTATCGATTTTCACGTAACTTTTTCTGCAAACATGAGTTATATATAAATTATATATTAATAATTACTTATTGCGCGTTTGCACTTTTTTTTACGATTAGATTTTAAAAAATGTATATATTCACTAAAAATCCTGTTTTATGTAAGTAATTAAGTTATGTAAGTTTTATGTTTAACATTAGTAATTTTTATAGTTGTGCTTCATTAAACAATTCTTTTTTTTGTTCTTCAATTGTCTTCTTGCTATTAAATATTCAGTTTAAATAGTATCTGCAAATGAGAAATAAAAACATTATTTGCTACATTAGCGGTTTTTGAAATGATTTTAATGACTAAGAGATATAAAATGTGTGCTAGTTTTTCTTCTTTAACTTCAGAGATTGAAGTTCTTATTTCATTATTATTTGAAAATATTGTATGTAATTAAGAACATAATCTCAACTTTTTTTTTTTTTACTCAATCTCTTTAATTATTTTTCTTGTAGCTTTTCCCAAAATTTGCAAAATCATTACAATGAAATAAATTATTCTTTAAATAAAATGAAAATTGTCAATTACCCGTAGAAACATTTTATTTTATTTAAAAGAAACATTTTATTTTATTGAAATTGTTATTATTAAAGTAATAGGAATTCATTAATTTTCAAGCATTAACTTATTTTTGTATTTACAAAGTCATAAAGAACTATTACATCCATTACTTATTGTCCTGTTTTAAAATTTTATAGTTTAAAGCAGTATTAGCTATTTAATTGTTATTTATTGTAGCAAATGAACTGCAAGCAGAAGTTGAAAAGACAACATTAAATGTTCAATACCTTGAGTCAGCAAAAGATGATGTTCGTTCAAATATCTCTGTTCTTAAAAGAGGATCAAAGAAAACTGAAACTGAAGTTTTAAAAGCTCAACAGTTAAAAAAGAAGCAGGTTTAAATGAATTTTGTTATCAATTAAAAAAGAAGCAGATTTAAATGAATTTTGTCCATAATAAATTTAGCAAACTTATCGTTATAGTTCAATACATAACAGTTTTAAGTATAACATTATTTTATAATATTAGTTTATATTATTTATGTTTATGTCTGACTTGATGCAGCAGTAATACCAGTATCGTTGACTTAATGTATCAAGATATAATTATCTAATGTAAAAATATATAATTATCTTTCTATATGTGAAATGCAGAAAGCATTTTTTTTTATTTATACAAAATGCATTTTTTAATTTTGTTTCAAATTGAAGAGTGTTATTCTAAAAAGCGCTAAATTTATTTTTTTTAATTTTTATTTAATTGAGTTTTTTAACATTTGAGTTTTTATTGATAAATGTACAAATCTAACTATGTTAGTATCAATAAAAAAGTTGTTCATCATCTTTATTTACAATTACAAAATTATAGATATTCAAAAATTTTTTGCCGGATAATAAATTTTTAATGTTTTTCTCTAAACAATAAAAATGTGACTTAGCACGTTTTAAAAAAAGGCTCTTCAATTGTAATCAGTTTAAAATATCCTGTACAACTTCATCTTTTTTAAATGAGTTTTCTAAAAATATTAGAACTTCATTCATTTTTTCTTTTTAAATAAAACTCTTGTTTTATTTACTGATAAAATCTTTATATTGCTAAAAATTTATTTTTTATCATCTAAACTTTATATTTATTGTTTTTTCATATTTTTACATTAAACATTTTTATTGAAAATTTAAATATACCAAATTATTCATATTTTTTAGGATTTTTTACTCAACAAAATTGTTGTTGCTGTTGATCGTCTAGAATCAGATATTGCAATGTATGATACTCAATACAATGCTCAGAAAGAAGAAACTAAATCGGCTCTCAGAACATTAACTGAGGCATCAACGGAATTAGAAGTTCAGTTTTTTAAATACTCTAATAATTCTATTATTTATTCATTTTGAATCTTTTATTTGGTAATTATAAGAATTTTCTAATGATTATTGATAAATCTTTTCTTAAAACGCTATATATTATGTGTAGGCTATTGAAGTTGAAAAAAAACAGTTGTTGCATGAATGGAACAATAGCTTAATGGGATTAAAAAAGCGAGATGAAGCTTGTGCTGCTATACAAGAAGCTTATAAGTATGCTTTTTAAAAGTATGATCTATATGATGAAATAAAATTAGATATCTCAGACGTTCAGAATGATGTATCTACATGAATGTTTGTTTCAACTTTTTTTATTTTTATAATAACAAAGATGACTATTGCAACAAAACATACATCTTTACTATTGATGAGATTTATTTTTGTTGACCGTTGTATTTATGTTACTATTGACTACTACTAAATAATATAAAAATTACTAGTTTTAGTTTATTTATTATGTGTTTTTAGTTAAAAGTTCAGTCAATTTTAAAAAATGCTATCAATTTATTTAAAATAGAGATTCCTTGTTTTAAGTAACATAATAATAATAAGGAATAGGGGGAAAAGGTCAGATCATAAGTGTATTTACATTTAAAACATTTTTTGTATATACATTGTTTTAATTTATATTTAACAACATTTTGTAGTTTACAAAATAAAGTACTTGTCGCAGTTGAAACAGAAATGGATGGTTACAAGAAACAGATTTTAAAAGCACAGGAGCAAAATGAGCATATTACTTATTTACACAATAGAATTGAAAATGATATTAATATGTTGAAAAAAAATATACAAATTTCAAAAAATAAAGAAGAAGCTTTAAGAATAGAGTATAGCACTTACTCTCATACATATCAAGAAACAAAACAATTTTTAATTAAAGCTGAAAAAGTATTTTTTTCTTATATTACTATTCTTTTTGTATTACAAAATTTCTTTTCTTATTAACTTAATTATCTTTAAATTGTTTTAGGAACTTGCATTAAAAGAAAATGAACTTTTGAATCTGAAGAAACAGATTGAGCAAGATTTTTTAGAAAAAGTAAAAGTTGAAAACCTGATTATGAATAAAATGCAAGAACAACTTACTTTAGATAAAGCATCTAAACATATGAGAAAAAAGATTATAGAAACAAGAAATAAAAATAACCAGCTTGTACGTATTTTATACTTAGTTCTTATTATTTTGTGTAGATTTTAAATGTTATTTTAGTACATTTATATTTTAGGAACATTCTGTTACAGAAGTTAATAATGCAATTTCTCATGATAAGTTGCAAATTTTGAATGCCACAACACGTGTGCAAAACTTGAAAGAGATATTGTGTGGACTCAATGATGCTATTGAACATAAAAATTCTGAAATTTCAAAGGTTGAAAATGAAATGGTAAAAAAAAATTCATTGATTGAGAAAAAGCAAGGAAAAGTGGATCAGTTGAATAAAAAGATAGCTTTATTAATTAGTAAAGAAGGAGTAAGTTTTCTTTAAATTTTTAAATGTAATCTAAAATTCTTTTAAATGATCTAAAAATAAGATTGCTATGTTGACTTTTTAATGATTATTTTGCCAATATGTAAAAGTTATGTATAATGTTTTTACAAAACAAGTATAAAATTGAAAAACAGACAAATAAATTGTTACCTGTCTGTTTTTATTTACAAAGAAACTAAAAATAAAAATGCTATTAATATATGTGCATTGTGACCTCATTTGATTGCATTGTTTCTTATTTATTTATTTATTATGATTACGTTATTTCTTATTATATTGTTATGCAGAATATATATATATATATATATATATATATATATATATATATATATATATATATATATATATATATATATATATTTTTCATTTTATTTATTTATTATGATTACATTATTTCTTATTATATTGTTATGCAGAATATATATATATATATATATATATATATATATATATATATATATATATATATATATATATATATATATATATATATATATTTCAGCATTATAGGGTAGAGGGCCCAAAACAGGACTAAAGGGGTCTAAAATATTTTTTTTTAATTTCATATCTAGATATATCAAGGACATTAAAAAAAAAAAATAAAGATTTATTTGTTAACCAGTTTTTTGTACTAGAAATTAGATGCGTTATATATAGCCAAGTAAAGAATTTATGAAATTCTCTGCAGTTTCCCTACATAATCAATTAACACTTGTTATATGAGTTCTACTGTTGATTTGTCTAATTAGTTTCATTCATCTGTCAATTGTATATTCATTTGAGAGAAAATACATTTTACTTAGCATTATGAGATAAAGTTTCAGAATATTCCTCTAAGTTTACTCAGTGTTGACAATTCATTTTTCATACAAATTTTTTTTTTATCCCATCCTGTGTTGATTGTTACTTTATATAGAATATTCTTTTGATTAAAGAGAAGCAAATCAATTAATTAAACTCTTCTATCATTGAATACTTACAAGTAAGTAAATGCAGGTACTTCTAAAAGTTACATCCAAGAAAATATTGTTATGCTTGAAGTTGTTTCATTCTACATATAGATATATAATCTACATATACATAATTGTATACAGTTGTGTAAAAATCGTCAATTTCTTGATTAAAAGTTAATTTGTGATATTTGATCTCTTACTTGTATTTAGAAAATTTTTAACATTGATGGTTAGAAAGTGTTCATTGCGCCTTTCTTTAATGATTGTTAGTGTCTCTTTTAACTTAAGCAGTACAGCATGTCTTTTTTCCCTCATTTATTATAATTCCTTCATCAAATACCTTTTTTATTTACAGCTGGATGTGAATAAAAAAGGTAGGCTTCAAATAAGGGATCATTATAAAAAGTTAAAATGGTTTTTGAAACTTTTTTCTCTGAAAGAAAAAATTATTTTAATCCAATAAAAAAATTGAAAAGTATGTATATATTGGTACAACTGTGGCTTCAGTATTGTAATATTCACACATCATCCAAACTGCAAACATCCAAACACAATACAAACTGCAGCAGATTGACGTCTGTTGTAGTTTGTATTGTGTTTTACATGATGTGTGGTACGCTACTTTTACCTATTTTTGATGATTTTTTTTTTTATGATTTGATTTTTGATGATTTGATTTTTTTAAATCATAGTAAATATTACATTTACTGTTTTTTTATTTAAAAACTTTAGCATATAAAATTCGCCGAATGGTCACACACGAGCAGTGAACGCCTGAGGGAAGAAATGAAGTACATTAGAATTAAGGAGAATTATTTATTAGACAAAGCATATTTTGACAGTTGTCAAGACAAAAATAAAGATTAATAGAGGAATATTTAAAAATAAGTAAGACAAGCTATACAACCAAAACAGTACTCAACCATAATAACAATAAAAAAAAAAAAAAAAAAAAAAAAATAAAAATTAAAATTAAAATTAAAAAAAATAAAAACAAACAATAATAAAATATATATATATATATATATATATATAAATTCAAAATAAAAAAATTGTTTTATAAATACCAATATGAACTAAAATATACAAGAAATACATAACCAGTCAACAATTTGTAAAACAAAAAACCATTCAACAAATTAAAAATATGCTAACAACAATGAAAGGACTAATAATGGAAAAAAAATATTAATGCTAATGTGTAAACATAATTAGTGTAGTGATAAGTAATAAACATCTCCTCAGAGTCGCGTCTATTATTACTGGCGTTTCGATGAGGATCAGCATTTATAACTAGTTTATCCCGTCAGACAAACGTCATCGCCACTTATGCTTTACCCCGCGACTTACGCCTATTCCATACTGCAGTAAAAAAGGACTCACTACAAATAGCCAAAACCCAACCAACCCCAAATTTGTAAAGCACCAATATTTTTTTTTTGATGATATGATATAAAAAGTATAGATTTACTGAACAAACAAAAATAAAAATAACTAAATAAAAACACTTACTGTACCACCAAAAGAAAACATGAAAACAAAATAAATTAAAATTCTAATAGAAACATAAAAATATTAATCAATTTATTTTAAGAAATAAAACCAAATAGGTATTATTAGCATAAACAAGCCCAAGATACTCAGAAAGCAGTATACCTCATTAAAAATTTTTTTAATAAACAAAACAATACCCTTAAATAAACTCTAACGCTGTCATAGATACCTCATTCGAAATATGATAACCAATCAAAAGTGTAGGAAAATGAGTAACCTGCGAAACCCAAAATCATAATAATAATAGAATAATAAATGATAGCGAAAAAGAACGTTGCACAAAAACCTTAAAAATGTAAGCGACATATATGTAAAACATTAAATGAAGGATATAAAAATATTCTCTGAATAATAATAAAGATGAAAAGTGCATGTGAAAATTAAAACAAAGCTGAGTAATGAATGCAAGATAATATAACATGAAAGTTTCTGTAAACAGTAATAATATGAAAATCAGGAGATAAGTAATATATTAATAAATATAGCAATAAGACTAAATAAATATTGTAATAAACCCAGATAATTTGAAGCCAAATGAGTGGTTAAAAAATTAGTTGTTGGTAATATAACAATGATATAAATCGTGATATAAAAACGATGTAGAAAGCGGGAAAAAAAATTGTTAAGAAATGAAGTTTTCTCTACGGTCCGAACTAAATGAAAGTTTGAGACCATATCTAAATCGAAATTTCCGAAAAGTAAAGTTTTCTCTACAGTCCGAACTAAAAGAAACTTTGAGACCATATCAAAATCGAAATTTCCGAAAAATAAAGTTTTCTCTACGGTCCGAATTAAATGTAACTTTGAGACCATAACAAAATAACAAGGAAAAACATACTTCATAAAAACAAGTCGAAAGCCGCTAGTTTATAAGAATCGCTCTTTGCTTATATGTATATGCATATGAATCCTTTAATGAAAAATTCAATTACACATGATAAACACATATAGATAACATACAAATCTGTATCTACATTTCAACAACATATCTATTAAAAGAAAATATTATCTAAATAAGGATGAGTTCAAACAAAGATAGTTTATCTATGAAAGAACAAAAAGCATACAAAAGATGTAAACAGACTATATGTGCATAAGGGTGTATAGGTGTAATGTGTAAGTCTGTGCTGTTTATGTCGTTCAGTAGAGTCTTGTATTGTTAGTAACCAGCGTAAAAGATTTGTCTCTGAACCAAACCAAGCTAGCCCAGCCATACTCCAGAAAACCATGATGGATTAAACACCTATGCATGGATTTATAACTGACTTATGACTAAAAAGCCAGCCCAGGCATCTTCCACAGACAAAAATCCTCTTTCGCGGTGACAGTAATTGCGATTAGGAAAATAGTCGTGCTCGATGACCGTAACACTAACCCTTACGGGCTAGGCCCAATATTATTTAAAAACTTTGGCATATAAAATTCGCCGAATGGTCACACACGAGCAGTGAACGCCTGAGGGAAGAAATGAAGTACATTAGAATTAAGGAGAATTATTTATTAGACAAAGCATATTTTGACAGTTGTCAAGACAAAAATAAAGATTAATAGAGGAATATTTAAAAATAAGTAAGACAAGCTATACAACCAAAACAGTACTCAACCATAATAACAATAAAAAAAAAAAAAATAAAAAAAATAAAAAAATAAAAATAAAAATAAAAATAAAAATTAAAAAAAATAAAAACAAACAATAATAAAATATATATATATATATATATATATATATATAAATTCAAAATAAAAAAATTGTTTTATAAATACCAATATGAACTAAAATATACAAGAAATACATAACCAGTCAACAATTTGTAAAACAAAAAACCATTCAACAAATTAAAAATATGCTAACAACAATGAAAGGACTAATAATGGAAAAAAAATATTAATGCTAATGTGTAAACATAATTAGTGTAGTGATAAGTAATAAACATCTCCTCAGAGTCGCGTCTATTATTACTGGCGTTTCGATGAGGATCAGCATTTATAACTAGTTTATCCCGTCAGACAAACGCCACTTATGCTTTACCCCGCGACTAAAGAAACACCTCCGATGTTTTTCTTTAAACACCTCCGATGTTTTTCTTCAAACAGCTCCAATGTTTTTCTTCAAACACTTCCGATGTTTTTCTTCAAACACCTCTGATGTTTGTGTTTTTCTTCAAACACCTCCGATGTTTGTATTTTTCTTCAAACACCTCTGATGTTTGTATTTTTCTTCAAACACCTCCAATCAGAGTTACCATCAGGGGTTTTTTCAAGCCAGATTTCTCAAATCTGGTTTGTTTTTTTTAGGTTTTGCTTAAAATTTTTTCCTGGTTTATTTTAGAAAATCTGGTTTAAATCTGTTTTTTTTTTAAAGTGTTAGGTGTTTTTTTTTTTTTTTAGATTATTATATTAAATCTGGTTAGTTTTTTGTTAAATCAATTTAATCAAGCTTTTTTGTTTCATAAAAAAAGTGAAATAGAGAGAAAT